TATATATATATATATATAACGTTTTGACCAATCACGTTTAGCTACGTTATTCTTGCCCTAACGTTTGATATATCGCAAAAATGATCGTATTCTATATAATATCATAACTACTACTCCACTGTAAAATTGTGGCCACTCCCAACTTTTTATGGCCCACCCAAAATGGAAATCCTTGCGGCGCTCCCGTCCGAAACAACAGCAGTATTGCTCGTATGATAATCCTTAGTTACACAGCTGTTTACATGATTATTCTAGTGCATAATGTAACACATATATGAACTGCTCTAAACTTAGGTGTTGACAGAACATATTCGCTAGTCATAACTGCATTAAATCAAGGATAATATAACATCTCCAACGGTTTATATCTAAGGTTCTTGATGGTTTTATGAAAGCTAAAAAATTGCTCTTTAGAGTAAAGGTCTTAATAAATAAATACCTGTCATACTGCGCGCGGAGTTTCATGATAAAGCACCGATCTCCATTCTACAGGCTATGGTGGTGTTTGAACGATCAAAACACAATAACTAAAAGAGATTATAATCAAAACAGCTCAATCGGCTAAAGGAGTTTGGTTTCAACTTGACAATGTTCCGGGAGCCATCTAGCCTGACCTACTAAAGGAACCAGTCCAGTGGCTCTGCTGGAAAGCAAAATAAAAGTCCTCAATAAGGCTGTCTCTTGCTTTCAAAATAAAAGCCCAATTTAGGCGATAAACTCAGCTCACCAAATTCATTTACTCATCCTCGTGTTGTTCCGAACCCGTATTACTTACTTTATTTCTTTGGGAAACAAAATGAGATGTTAAGCACAATGACATAACGTCTCAATCACCATTCCTTTGCATCTTTTTTCCTTATAATGAAAGTGAATGGACACTGAGAGAAGCTCTTTGATGTTGGTGCAAGAAACCGTTTAACTCACCTGCATTCAGGTTTGTTGTTAATGTTCTGGTTGGTTGATAATGTCTCAAGGTGCCCTCATTCCATTGATTATTATCTGTTTCTTTTTTCCACTGTAGAAACACCAGCTGGATTCTTTGCTGAACTGGCTGAGTCCCTCTGCTTTAACATTTGAATCATAATAGGTTATATATCCTTTTCCTCCCAAGCCATGTCTACATTAGAAAATCAAAGTCCAGCCAATCCGAATACCTCCACTCATGTCCACACCACAGCATGGTGTCTGTCTGTCTGCTCTGAATTTGAACATGTGATGGTAAGATGTGTCTTATAAGCATGCTTATCATCTTTCTCACTCTCTTTCAAGTTGTCTCACAACAGTCACTTTGCTGTTGCTCAGTGTACTGTAGGCCTTTGTGATAGTTACTGTTTTTGTATGTACTGTAAAAATAAGCCTAAATTAAATTTAAAGTATTAATTTCACAGTGGTTAAATTGATTCAATAACAAGTGTTATTTACAGTATTTGTAGCATAATGTTGTTTACAACAAAATTAATTTAAACTTGTTTCAACTTGTAAAAAAGGTAAAAGAAGTCAAAATGGTGAGGCACATATAATGGAATTGAAATTTTTGAGTATTTAAAAGCAGAAATGTGATGCTTAGAATTTTTATTTTTTTTAAAGCACTGAATTAATTATTTTATTATTATTTGAGATGAGGTTAGCAGACTTTGTTTTTATACACTAAAATCATGTTGACAGTAATATTGTTTAAAGTATTTTAATATAGCACAGTTTTTTCCCATTAATTAAATTTTTTTTTTTTTTGTGGTAGTCAACATTATGCCGCAAATGAGTGTAAATCAAATTTATACCCAGAAAGTAGGATTTAAAAAAAAAAAAAAACACACACCACACAGACTAGAAATTTGGGCTAATTCTTCTGTTCATGCTGATAATCGAATCCCACTGTATATTACAATGTTAAACATTTTAATTAATGTAGAAATCTTTATATCTGATTTTGCAAAATGGCGACATGTCAAGCAAAAGCAAAATGTTTATTTCAAAAAATTGTATGTAATCATATCTTATTAGTAATGACATTCACTTCTATAGTTTAGTGATCAGTTGTCTAATCACCATCTACCCCAGACAGTACTTACACAGACACTGTGTCCAGACATGGATATAATCATGTAAATTAAAAACCCATAACAGCCTCATACTAATCTAAATGTATGGGTCATTCTGTGTAACTGAGCATGTTAAATGATGCTTTAGGATAATGCAGTTTAATTTGTGGAGGAATGAATTTAAGTACCTTGTTGTACATTTAAAAGATGATAATGTGAGCTGGGAGTGTATCTTGTTTTTCAGGGGCTGCTTATTGAATTATTAGATATTTTCTAGCACTAGAGATACCAACAGGTCTTTTAAGGTAAGTATTTCTCTGTGATATATTGTACTGAAATAAACAGTAAGATCTATTGAACTGAAATGATGATTCCCATAAACACAGGGTTTTCAATCTCCCACAGTTTAAGGCCTTAAAATCAGAGCAGATAAAGGCATGGCATTAAATCTTGCATGCATTGTAAAATATAAATATCTTCCACAGTATTTTTGTTTTAAAATACAAATATATACAGTAAACATCCTTAAATAAAGATACGTTTACTTGAGATGCAAAATAAGGAAATTTAAGTATTGTTTTCCGAGACACTGAACAAAATTAATTAAGCGACTTTATGCCTAAACAACCACAAATATACACCGTGCGGAAAATTAGCTTTCCCTTTAAATTAAGTAGATTTTTCTGAGCCCATTGGCAGATATTTGTTCTGGTTATAATCATAAACTCACTTCATTTTGGTTCATTTCACAGAAAACAAGACCTTTTATCTTATGTCATTTTGATTATTAAGTAAATGTGTCTTGATTTAAGAATCATTAGACGTTTTCACTGGAAAACAAGACAAAAATACTATGGAAGATTATCACTTTTTTGCAGTGCGATCAGAAGATACAGTAAAAGTTATTGTCATTCTGGTATTTGAGAGCCGAGTTATTCAAACCTTAAGCTATTTTTTTTTTAAAATAATGAATTAAAAAGTAATGGAGATTGTATTTTCCAACTCTGAGGTGTTTCTAATACAAATGCTCCCTAGACATTTACATTTAGATGATATATTGACGTATTGTGTTCCCTTAAATTTGTATTTTTTACTTGGTCTTAAAAAGGTCTTAAATCTTAAATTTACCTTCATAAAACCTGCAGAAATTCTGTAAAGAGTATAGCGTGATATCAGGTTTCAGATAATCTCTCTCTCTCTCTCTCTCTCTCTCTCTCTCTATTTCTCTCTCTTTGCACCGCTCATCAAGGAGTCAAGCCTAAAACAAGGTTAATGAGGTCACCCCCTCTCCTTCACTACCATGTAAACATGTTACTCAATGCGGAGGCTGGAAGTTGTCGTCCGAGTGAATAGAGTAAGCATAGCTACCTGTCAGATATGAATGGACATATCAAGAGTAGGGTGCGGATATAGTAAGGAGTGACAGACAAACTCTCTCTCTCTCATGTTTTATATCTCTGTCTCTCCTTCCTGTCTTATTTCAATAAAAATATAAAATGAGCTCATAAATGATCTATTTGTCTTTTAATGTACTGCATTTCAGTTTCCAAAAAAAAAACTCCTCTGAACGAGTGTGGTCCTTTTTCTAACAGCAGATGGCGCTTCATAGCAAGGAGTGATTTGAACAAAGGACCGACTGAGGAAATTTCTATATTGTTAATAAGAGAAAAGTACAGCGATAAATTCAGAGAGGTTACATAATGTGAGTGATTTTTGTATATATATTTTGAGAGAGAGAGAGTTACATATTTTTCTGTTCAAACAATTTGCTTTTAAAGCTTTTTTCACTATTACGTTTTTAGCATCTAATTGTTTTATTTACATTTTTATGTTTAAAATGTGTATTCATTCAGGCCGTAAAGACAAAATACATTGGGGCCATAAGCATATTTTTGTAAAACTGATCAAATTCATTGATGTAAGCTCTAACAATAACAATTGTTGCATCACCTGTTCAGCTGAGAGGCACAGGCAAAAAATATAGTCAAATCAGTCCAGCTGAAGTGACTATAACCTTGAGTTACTTGCTGAATATGATTTTCCTTCCTTTAAATATCTCATCAGGTTTGCCGGTTAGCCGTTCAAGGTGTGAACTGATGATCTGTGATTGAAATTCGGCTGCAATTTTCAGCCATTTAAAAAAAGCAGAAGACGTGTTTGATGTCGTTCTTTGTCTGAGTGTAATGTCTCATTTTCACCACCGTACACTCACACTCTCTCTCTCTATCAGAGCTCCCTTAATCAGCTTGTAGGTCAGTTACCATGACAACCTGATCTCTCGTGGATGTGGTGCTTCATGGAGAGGAAGATGATCACCTGCCCTCAGGTGTGTCTGTGTCTGTGTCTGTGTGTGTGTGTGGTTATATTTTGCCAGACCCCCACTGACAACCCCTCTTTTCACATTTATGATTTTCTCTCATCTGAAATGGAGATTTTGTGCATCGGCCCTTCAATGAGGTCACTAAATGGCTTTTAGCAGCATGAAAACATGCTTACATAAATGCCACATCTCTGCTGTATCATACATACATCTCGATTTAAGATAGATGAATGGATGGATGGATGAATAGATGAGTAGTTTGTATGTAGTAGTTTGATAATTCAGGACAGATAGATAGACAATGATATAGATGAGTAGGTTGATGGTTATAGATAGATTGATGGTTATATATATGATGGATGGACGGACGGACAGATGAATGGATAAGGAGGTAGATTATAGATAGATAGATAGATAGATAGAATTGATTGATTGATTGATGCTCTGTCTTTTAGTCCTCAGGGAGTTTCTCTTACACTCCCATTACTCTCGAGTGCTTGATCAATGGCTCCACCTTCACACTGCAGTTATTAAGCCTAGACTTTCAATTATTTTACAGTGGGTCGTCAACACATCTCTCAGAGATACACAGTACAGCAAAGTACCTTTGTGTGCACATCATTATACCTTAATTAATGTCAGCTTCCTGTACTTTAAATGTACATACATTAGCATATATCACACATGCTGGGCTGACTGCACAAGGTCGACTCCTATTGCCTACTATTGACTGACTTCCCTCCAGAAGGATTCTTTGATGAAAAGGAAGCGGGCAGCATGTCACAGCTGCTGCTTGACCTTTGGATTGTGGCAACACAGATCCAGCATTCCAACAGGAAATATGAACATTCTCATGTCTGGAATTAGCAGTCAGACGTTAGACTAATAGGCACTTTCCATGAAGAGGGTACAAACACAGTGCCTGAAACGCTTGGAAAATGTGAAAGTCATTTTTCAGGAGGTACTTAACCTTCAGAAGATGATGATTGTCAACCTTAGGAGGTCAAACCAAATTTTATATGAGCTATTTTATTTTATATTCATCTTACATGGCATTTGCAGTTTGTGCAATCCTGTTACTAAACCCTAATTTGTGTAATTTCAGATTTAAATAATAAATCAATTTAAATAAATAAATAAATAATACATTAAAAAGTAACTTTTATTAAAAAGTATTATTCCATATATTATAATACATTTAATATTGTTAAAAAGTAATAAAGAATTATTAAAGTCATCGTTCGGCCAAAAATGAAAATCATACTCATCCTCGAGTTATTCTAAACCTGTATGAGTTTCTTTCTTATGTTGAGCACAAAATTTGATATTTTGAAGAATGCTGGTAATCAAACAGTTGATGGTAGCCATTGACTTCCATATGGAAGAAACCTATGGAAGTCAATGGCTACCAACATTCTTCAAAATATCTTCTTTTGTACTCAACAGAAGAAACAAACTCAGAGGTCTGGAACAACTTGAGGGTGAGTAAATGATGACAAAATCATCATTTTTGGCTAAAGTATCCCTTTAACAATTTTGCACATTAAAAAGGCAAATAAATAAATAAACAAACAAACAAACAAATTATATTATATTATATACTTTTTTTTTTTTACAGTGTCTCTTTACCACAATGAAGTGAATATCAGTTCTTTACTTTACTTTTACTTTTAGTCATTTAGCAGACGCTTTTATCGAAAGCGACTTACAAATAAGAAAAAGTAATTAAAACTAAAAGCTAAAACTCTATAAATACTATATAGATACAGTCGGTACGTAATCCTAAAAAAAATAACACTGAGCCAAACACACATGCTAAAATAACAACAACTTACTGACACATAGTAA